AAACAGTTATATCTTACTCTTCACTAAACTCCATCAGCCTTGCTAACTGTTGCTAGGTCTGACCGGCTTTATAGAATTTGCACTAGGACTGCACTGATGATTTATTTGAAAACCGCTAAACTAATTTATTTGAGTTTATAATTCCATAAACAGCACTCTGGCTGGTAAAATATGCTCATAAAGTGATAAAACAGAACATTGATCATTAATATAAATTAAGTGGGCTGGGATGTTTGTTTGTTTTATTTTAATGCCATGGCAGCATTTTTAGCCAAAATTAAATAGAAACTAAATTAGATAAAGATTCTAAAACCAACTCTAAAACTAACTTGATTAAAACCCTTTTCAAGGGTATCAACAGTAGAAATGGTATAGTATAATTAAATACATTTAAAAGGGACATGATTTTATATATTATAATGTTTCTTGAAGTGTACCTATAATGGTTTTTTACCTATAATTTGTATTATAGTATTTCTTCTGTCTGTCCATATAAAGAGGGGCTAAAGAGGCAAGTCTTTAGGTCTTTGAAGAAGTCAGCATTGATTTATGTCAATGAAGACAGTCTTGTGCTTTTGTATTCATTACGTAATAAAAACCCGGAAGTAGATATTTGTTTTGGCAACTTGTTTTCAATAAAAGCTGTTTTTGGACTAACAAGGAGGTTTTGAGTTCTGAAACTTGCAGTAGGCCCTATGTTTTTATAGTACAGACAAAGTAAAATATGCTTAAGTAAAATATGCTAAAGTAAAATATACAGACAAAGAGCTCTATAAGCACATGTAGCGTCTGGACCAATCAAAAACACAATTTTTCAGTTGTTCATTGTTTGCTCATAACTGGAGTCACTTAATCATGCAGATTTATGCTACAAGCTCTGTGTAGAATTGTACAGTAAGAAAGTTATTTCCCTTAACCAGGAAATTAACGTTCTTAGAATTGACAGACAGTTGACCCTGAGAGGTCAAGTAAATATCTACAGCGGATCTAAATATTTATAATTAATTATAACTAGTTATGATTAATTATTCATATTTCCCCATGAGCTGATTCGCTACACACAGTTCCAGAGCACTTTAGTAAAGTTTTTCCTGTGTGATTCTCAGCTGCAGATTGTAAGAGGAAAAACGATAACAGTTCATCGGTGTCCTGCTTGGTTATGAGATCTAGCACATTCCACAAACAACACAGTAACGAGTCGTTTTCGTGATATGACCCGCAACCCTCTCTCCTACTGAGATGAGTGAACCTTTTCAGCAGAGGGCTGGAAATCTGAGCAGAGAAGTGTTTTAGTGACATTAAATGCTTACGTTTTACTGAGAAACTACTCCTACAAAACCATCAGAACTCAACTGTGAAAACATTGAGAAAATGGTGCAAAACATTTGCAGATAAATCCACTGCAGATAGCAGAACACAGTCAGAATAAAGAAGAGTCTTTCGCAGCTTATACAGATGACAAGGTTGAAAAAGTTGGTCTAATAGATGCACAGAATAGAGTGGAGAGGCAACAGAGTTACGAAATGAAAATAAATGGTCACGTTACACAAGTGACAGATGCATTATGGTCTTAATGGAGATTCAAAAATGAAACATGCAGCAAACAAAGCAGGACACATGGCTATGTTTGCACTAGCATACTAACATTATTGTTGTAGTGTTAACGAGCCCGAACATGAGGATTTCAATTTCCCAGCATGCTTGGCATGGGACTGGGAGTGATGAGGTTAGACCATTAAAGAGTTATTTATTTAGGTGATAAGGTTAAAGAGGCCTTGATATATTTTGAAGACCATTGTTAGTCATGATTAGCAGGGTACAACAGGACAACCTACTGCATTTGCCAAAATGTGCGGCATACAACACTCCACACTCTGAAGAATACTCTATCCCACAATGCAATGCGCTCTAATTGATGTTCCATTGTCAATATGACAAATGAACCAGAAGCATACAGCCACAGTTTGAGTCTATTTTAACCCAGATTAAATTAAAAGCAAACAACTGTTTATTTCTAAGATGATAATAGTGCAAACTTCACTGATAAAAACTGAGGAAAATATTTGTTGACAACCTTTTTTTCCAATCCATGATGAGACAAAACAACACCGGTATCATTAAACATTAACTGTGTAATATTCACTATGTAATAAAAAAAAAAATCTCTATATCCACAATCTGTCTATATTTTCTTCAACAGAAAAAAGGTGAAAAAAAATTAGACCTCATGTTTGAGGTTGCCAGTCAAGAATTTAAAATCCCCCATCAGAGCTTTTCTCATACATATGCACATTTACATACAAAATCTTATTTGTTTTAGATTTAATAGAAAAAAACATGAATACACTTTGGAATTAATATTTACAATTTTGAGAGAAGCTTTTAAGTTTTACCAGTTTTCATAATAGTGTGTTAATATATATGATAATTGAATAAATCACTCAATAATTCTGATGGAATCTCTCCAATGACTATCATAAGCGGTAATCACAGTTAAAATTTTGAGCAAAATAATTGTGATTATCAGTTTAAGCAGCTTGCAGTTTTCATTGACTAAAACTAGACTAAACTTCCCAGACTTTTAGACAATTTGAACTTGACTTAACAAAAAACATGATGACAAAATGTTATAAACTAAAAAAATACATTTTGACATAGGAGGTCATGTGACAAATATACCATACTACTAACTGAAATGTGTATCTTGCATAATAAAAACAGTTTCACCTACTACTAAAAAAATTAGTGCAGTATCCAATCAGTAATAAGCTAGTATTCAACCAACACAGCCGCTCAATATATCTGTCATTCTGAGTTATCAGGAAGTTGTTAGAAGAAATCAGTGAGTGAAGAGAGAATAAAGTGTGGCGATGTGCATGCTGATGATGAGAAATCAAATAAGAAAATAAAAATGAATAGCTAGAAAGGTAGGTTCCCGAGAGTGGTTGACTGCAACTGTGCAATACAATGATTAACTGCGTGAGATGGATCTATACATAGTCGACTCAAGAAGCCGTGCTTTGGGGTTGCAATGGGCAGAGAAAGCTGCAACTGGACTAGAATTCCTTGAAGAGCCTATACACAACATACATCTACTAAAACAAGATTATGTATGATGGAACTGCATCGGCGCTCAAACCCTATATATGCTTTTAAATCATTTCAAAGAGAAACACTTTTCATTGAAGCTGCTGCCAATTCCACAGGGCACAACTATATATTATCTCACAAAGCAAGGGAGGTTTGGGGTTTGAATGGAACCTACAAGTCGTGTTTGTTTGTAAAAATAAAAATAAAAAGACCCACAGTATTGGCCAAAGTAATATCTACATTTATTTATTCGGCAGAGGATTTCATCCAAAGCAACTTACAGTGAATTCATTACATACATTTTTTATTAGTATGGGGAGATGAAGCCATAACCTTAGTAGCACCATGCATCACTTTTCTACACTCTCAATAGATTACACTGCACCACCAGCACATCTTTTGGATGAACACTTACAGATGGATATGGAGAGAGACTCCAAGGTATTTCTGACTAACATTCACAAGTGGCTTTATAAGCGCAGCATTATAACAGGCTGTTTTTGGCACTGCATCCACATCAAAGCTCAATGAGGCATAAGACCATGGTCAAGTATACTTCTGCACACAATGTTACCTGGATAATAATGTAAGGAGAAAGAGATCTTTCAGGGGGTGCTGTATTCATGCTTACTGGACACTTACTGGAGGGAGAACTTTATTTTTGGTGATGGTTGTCTGCAGAGGATCGTTTCACATTTTCCACATCAGGGCTTTAAAACATAACTACAACTAATAGGGTTTGTATTCCCTACTTACCCTGCTAAAAAGACCAGCTTACACCAGCATGAATTTTCATGCTGTTCTTTAAGGAAGCATATAGGGAGCATAGCCTCCACTAAAATGTAATAAAAAAGCAACAATGTGCGTATATACACTACCATTTAAAAGTTTGGGGTTGGTAGGATTTTTGAATGTTTTTGACATATTTGATATAAAATACATTAAACCAGTAATATTAGGTGCATCCAAATTTGCATACTTGTGCACTATTCTTTGTCGTTTTTTAGTTTAAATAGTGTAACAAGTGTGTCCACAGTGAAAATTGCCTAGATGATGCACTTAAAATTAAGTATGTATAGTGTAATTTGGGACACAACTATTGTGAAACATTATTACAATTAAACAATTTTAATTGTAATAATATTTAATTTAACAACTAAAAATTGTATTGTTTTCCATTTTAATATATTTTAAAATGAAATTTACTCCCGTAATGTCAAAGCTGAATTTTCAGCAGCCATTGCTCAGTATTTCAGTGCCACATGACCCTTCAGAAATCATTCTAATATTCTGATTGGTGTTCAAGAAACATTTCTTATTATGGATGTTGAAAACAGTGCTGCTTAATATTTTCAGGATTTTTTTTGATAAATAGAAAGTCGAACAGCTTGTGAAAATGGTACTGCTGTTTTGGGAGTTCTATACTGCGATTTTGAGATTTAATTGTTTAATTGATATGTTTCAGTGGCTGACATCAGACTGTTTATAGAAATTAATTTAAATGGGAATTAAAGAGAACATAAAAGAACAATTGAAATAAAATAATTATTTATTTGGTTTAACTAAGAAAATATGTTGTTACTTGAACATGAGCTGTGGTATTGAAAACTTAAATTAAGTTCACCTTAATTTTGTAAAGTTATTATAACTAGGGCTGGGTATCGTTAAAAAATGTTCGATATCGATACCGATACCTTGACTTCGATACCGGTTCCTGAACGATACTATTTTCGATACCAATTTTATGAAATCAGTTTTAACAAGTTTACATTATCTATAAAAAAAAAAAAAACTTTGG